TCACTGCTCTACTCAAAATCTTTCAATGGTTTCTCATCTCCCAGTAAAAGTCAAAGTCCTTATAAGAACTTACACTACTCTGCTATTCTTTTCTCTCTTAGCCTTCATCTCATCTTCCCTCCCTCATCCACAGCACTCATTCCCAAACAAGCTGGGATGATCTCCAGATATCTGTATACATGTTCCTTCTTTTTCCAATCTCAATTCAATTATCACCTTCGCAGCAAAATCTTCCCTAACACCCTATTTAAACTACACCCTTAGTCTTCTCTTGGTTTTCTATTACTCCAGAGCACTTTTCACCAACTAACATACTCTACATTGTATTTAAATGTTAGCTTCTACAGGTAAATTCCAAATTGAGCTGATTAGAGGTCCAGTAATATCAGGCCTGAGGCCTCTAAGAGAAAATGAGTTTTGTTGATAATTAACTATATTCTAAACATTATAGATATGTGCAATCCTTCAAATAGGGTAGGTGATGGACTGGAATCAGCTCAAACTGCTGTCATTCCCCCTTCTCAGTGGCCTCACAGAAATATGCAAAAACAGACAAAGCAAGAGAGCTTATGTCAAGGTTCAAATCAGCACTGCCAGATATACAATACCAGAACTGTAATAGTGTTATCTAAAACGGGGGAGGTTCTGCCAGTTCCACTGAAGTGGGGGGTGAAGCTGAGTGGTGACGGAAAGCTAGAAAAGACTGGGAAGAGACAGGACTTAAGGGAGACTTGGAGGAGGCAAGTGAAAAAGGGAAAAGTGGAACGGAGAGACATGTGAAGAGGAAGCTGTGCTTACTGGCATTGGATCTGTACTAGGGACTTGGGGGGACATGGAAAGAGACACTAAAATAAAGACATGGGTGAGAAACCCAAGGAAAGACAGACAATGGCAGCCTTTTTCCTGACTTATACCTTGAACTTGCTGTTTTCCTTCCAGACTTGTCTGGCCCTTTTTGCCCTTCTTCTCTGGTTCCCCACCAGAAGGTGCCTTATATTTGTGGCAAAATTGGTGACCCTGCTTTGGGCCAGCCCTATTTGACTGGGCAATTACCCAAGAGGGGATGGGTGACATTGGGCATTTCACTGGGATGCAGTATTCCATTTTCTCTCTATTGTACACGAATTCTATTAAAGTTTTTCTTACACACTAAGACTATGTTTTGTCTTTATGCACTGGATGGCAGAACCCATCTAGAGCATGCAGGTTTGGGGGTCCTGGGATGCCCCTCATTCTACCTGCTAATAGGAGACCTCAAACTAGTCAGGGGTATTATTAAGGACGTGAAGGAATTGTTCTCAACTTTAGATAATAGGATCTGAATTTATAAATGACTCCTTCTTCAGCACCCTGAAGAAATTTAGAATGAATAAGCTTGTCAGCTTATTTGCTATGTAAATAACATAGTCTATGTGGAAAGAACGGACTTTGTGATATGAACAAGTGAAAAGGGTGAAAATTCTCTGAGTTCTTCACCAATGTTACAAGCTATATGATCATTATTGAGGGATTTGGATCAGAATGCCCTGAAACAAAATCCTCACACTGATTCTGTTTGGACAGAATTCTCACTTGGAGCACAAAAGTTCTTCCCTCAGAATTTCTTCTTCTTTTCTTTTTTTTAAAGATTTATTTATTTGTGCATACAGAACTGGGGTACAGGTCAGAGACTCAGGAGCTGTGAGAGGCTTCACCAGAGACAGAGTGGGGAGTAGAACAAGCAGATCAACGAAGTACACTGCTGAGGGGAGCAGCGGGCGGGCCAGGAGAGGTCTGCCACGCCATGTGGTCACCTCCGGGGCAGGCGGGGTCGAACTCATGTGGAAGAGGCTTTAGCTTCTTAGTGCTCTGCTTTAACCTGCTGCACCACCAGGGAGGTCCAGAATTTCTTCTTTTTTAAGTGAACTAAAATCTAGCTTATATATGGAGCACAAACAAAATGTTAAGTCCTTCCCTTCCTTCCTTCCTTCTTCTTTTTTTTTTTTGAAGAAAAGGATAATGCTTTGAAGGCAGGTTATTTGCCTGGATAAAACATGTCATCAAAATGCCTGAATCACCTTGGACTCTCTAAATTATAGGTCAGATATTATGTAGAACAGAGAAGACCAGGAAAGACATTATGTCTCAAGAAAATATTAATTTCCTCAGAATGAAACATTCAGATTTACCCAATATAACTTTGTCAAGTTCCTATTCTAGGCCAATCACACATATTTTCACTGTCCTGATCAACTCTGTAACAAATGAGGCAGTGACTGATAACCTTATTTTTCAGATGAGGAAATTTGAGGATGCAAAGAGTAAACTTTGTTAAGTGGTAGAGTCTAGAAGTGTTGGAATTCAAATTGAGACTCCTGACTCTAGGCTTTGTGTGCATTCTACCATGCTAAGGAAACAGGGGAAAGTCTGTAAGAATTGTCATTAATGTAATGAAAGTTGTTCCTGCAAAGGTCTCTCATGTGAAAATCCAAGATATTATTTCCAGGACTTTGTAGGGTTTCACAAAATTAGCAATATGGTCATTATTCAACTCCTTCATCTTGTGAATAAGAAATCTGAGAAAAAGCTTAGCCCTTCCCAGCCCTCTGTCTGTGAAAATAATTAACATTCACATCTAAAAGAGTGAGCTTGAACTGCACTTCCCCTTCCATGCTATGTTTTGAAAACTTGAGGTTAAGCTGGCTCATTAAAGCTCTTGCCTCTCATTTTTAGTAACTAAAATACTTTAAAGTGTCATGTTTGTTGAATTATATTAGGAATCAAATGTTTCAATAACTATAATCAGGGTAACTATCACTTTCAAGTGTATAGTTAGTGAATATAAGAATTTTTCATCAACAGCAAAATGTAACACATGAGGCAATGACTGATAACCTTATGTTGAAGAATCCAGAAAGGTACCTGTAACAGAGCACTTATGATTTTCAGTATCAATTAAGATCATTATGGATGGACTAAGCACCATAAGTTGCTATAATTTAATTTCTGGTTAAACAAAGAAGCATAAATTACATAAACATGGGTATGATTACCACTTAGGTAATCCATTTAGGGACAAAATTCCTAAGAGATAGAAAAAGAGGAAGACCCTGGGAAATGCCTGTGAGAGGCACACTAGGAGTGGCTTAGGCTGGACACTTCTCAAACAAGACCAGACATGAAGGGACTACCCTGTGTTGTTCCTGGAGGAGCAAATGTCCAGAAGACTGCAGCTGAGTACTCAGAGTTTTTAAATGGTGATTTTTCCTTTCTAGAGAAGATTATCTGAATGAAACATTTGGCTCACAAGTGCTGAACCTGGAGGAAAGTGCCTACCTAAGGTCACACCTGTAGTAAGAGTACTTTCACCCTGAATATATATAAAAGCCAGCAAACAACTGCTCAATGTCCTTTTCAAACTTTCTAGAGAACTGGTAAGCTCAACACTGGCGTGTTAGCAGGTGACTCTCTGGAGAACCCCAAGGCCTTGGAAATTGGGGAGGTGGAGAAGGGAGATGCAAGTCTAGGACTCACCTTCCCCAATGTTCTTAAAATAGGAGTTTACCTTAAATTTTGGTCTCTAATCTTTAGGAAAACAAGGTCCTCCCCTATATTTGGCTGCAGGGGAGTTAAATCTCTCTGCATTCTGTTATTTAAATGTAATGGGACAGTGTAACCTCCCTAAATTTGCCTTAAGCCACTTCTTGGGAGAAATAGAGTTAAGCACACAAAATGAGATGTTTTGCTAAGGCAGTTCTAGGATGTTATTTATTTACCAGAAACCTGATTTTACAAAGTCCTGGAGGAGCAAATCTGACCCTGAGGATTCCAATAACTTCCACAGACTTTTTTTTTTTTGGAAGGGGGTGGGGGGTGGCGGGAGAAGGGATTGGCATGGGGAGGAGGCAACACTAAATATTCTAAAATATCAGAAGAATCATCAGGATGCTGAGTGAAGCAGGCTGCCCCAAGTCTGCCTTCAGCAAACCTAAGTCTTTTCCAAAGGGAAGATGGAAAAAGCAAAGGAGTCTCACCTGCTGGGTTTTCCCACCTGTGTAAACCCCTAGGTGAAAAGAGACAGGTGGCTTCAACCTCAAAGGGCTGCACCACAGAGACCAACTTGTAAAACAGATAACCTGGCATAGATTCAAAACCCAAATAGAAATAAACAGTCCCTCTGAGCAATGGCTCAGACATCTATCAAGTCCAAGGGATCTGTCAGGAGTGAATCACTTAAATAGATGCTTGCTTTAAAAATATACAAATATGACAAATAATTTTCAATAGAAAAACAAGGTGGAGCTGAAGGAACTTCCGTGGCAACCTTCAAGGAAGCGATCTTTTAAATGCAGGGTGGGAAAGGGGGTAAACCGAATTCTCTTACAGCTCCCTTTTTCCTGTAGTCTTCTGTGGATCATGGTAACTACACACCCCTGAATTCTGAAATGAACCTGACAGGTTTTTATAGATCCCCGATTTAGGCAGTCCTCGCTCCCGGTGTGGGAAGGCACATTTCCAGGGTGATTAATGGCAACCCTGCACCATCCCTCCCCCTGGAGGCCAAGCCAGACGGAGGCTGGAGGCTAAAGTGTGACTTTCTGTCCACCACTCAATCTCAATTCCAGCAGCGTGGTTCAGGAAAATAAACCGGGGGTTGGGGGCGCAGCAGAGGGAGGAAGATAAGATTTTAAAAATAACAACGTTTGCTTTCCAAAGGAAAGAACCAACAGCTATTTGCTTCCCTTTGCCTGTTCCAAGCCCCTTTGACGATTCTGGGAAAGCAAGATCCGGTGGCTCCTGGAGCACCGAAATGGGATCACCTGAAAAGCTTTGTTCTTCGCATAGGTATCACCCTCTGGGAGAAGCTCCACGCTTGGGGTTAAAGGACGAGAGGGTGCCCAGGGACTCGGGCACAATTATGCCAGCGCCGTGCCCACCCTCGCCCTCGCCCGCCCCGCACGCGGCCTGGGCTCTGGGAATGCTTGTGTGCGCGCTCGTCGCCCACCAGCCTCTAGGCTCACCTAGCACCACAGCGGCCACGGTGGAGAGCAGCAGCCAGTTATTCTTCAGAAAGCGCTTGGAGTCGCATCCCTTCCTCGCCGGTTTCCCCATGGCGGGCGCTGGGGCTAGAAGCTGCGGCCGCGGCTGCTATTGTGTGCGGGACTCGGCTGCGCCCGCTGGAGCTCGAAGACCTAGAGGAAGCTCGGCAGCACCGCGGGTGCCGGGTGAAGGAGCGCAGGGAAGATGGTGTGCTGTGACAGTTGCGGGCGTCTCTGTCACTGCCGTTGCAGCTGTCACGGCGGCCACTGTTACCAGCAGCACTGGCACCTGAGATCGCGTTCCACGCCTGCCGCCCTTGCCAGCTCTGTGGCTGTGCGTGGTTGGCGCACCCGACTCCTCCTGCTGCCGCCGCGCTTTGCGGCTCCCGGGCCAACCAGAGAGGAAGAAGGGAGGGGCGGTGGGTCAGGGAAGAGGTGGGTGAGAGAGGCGGATCGGTGTGTGCTTAGGGCGCCAGGGCTTCCCTGTGGAGAAGACGTGGGAGGGGGCTGGCGCTGGAGCTGAGGCGGCTTCTTCGGATGCCACTCGGGATTTTTCCTTTCTTCTTCTTTTTTTTTTTCCCCTCAGGCTACGTTTTTCGAATTTCGGGTTTCCTCCTCTTTCTATTCCTGAGGGGACAGAGTCACTGGGTCCTTTATTTGGATTTCATTTTGCATATTCCTCCCTTCCCCTTTTGTCACACCAGCCATTCCCAGTGCAGTCACTGGGGAATTTGGTGCCCTTTCCAGTGGAGACAGTGGGGGTAACTGAGTTATCTTGGGTGTTTTTTGTACCCAATGAAGGTTCGGTTTTGCCAAAAGCAGCAGGAGGGAAAGAAAGAGTCCCGGGGCACAGAACAGGCCTTTCAGAACTTTCACAGGAGCCTTTAAACAGCACCTCACCCAACACCCCCCCCCCCCTTTATTAATGCTTTTGAGTGGGGTAGTGAAGCTCCAACAGGATTGCCTATGGACAGAGAGCTTGAAATGGACCTTTTTAGAACTTCACTTGTGCGCCCTGAGGCTGGTTCAGTGATCAACAAAAATGCCCCCAAAGCTATGAGATTTGGCAGAGTAGTGAGGACTGAGAACTCAAGGAACCTGTTTTGGGGATAAGGTGGGCAAGGTCATCGCTAAGGGCCAGTACCCTAGAAAGTCAAACAAGTGAGAGTTGGAGAAATTAGGGCAGTGGTGACAAGCACATTATGTGCTGCTTAGTGAAATTTCGAGTATTTCCCCCTTTCTTCTATCCAATTTTTCATCCTCAATAATACATTTTTCTTTTACCACATCACCACCTCTGCAGCTTTAGGCTGTCTTCTCATCTGCTTCCCCAAGTTAAGTAAATCCTGCACTTTTCTGCTGTTGTGTAGTCTACTCTTTGGAGGAAGAAATTCCTGCCCAGATTTTCTAATGACTAAAATCTGAAATTGATTATGTCTTAAAATATCTTAAATTGATATGTCCTTAAGGAGGTAATAAATTAATTACAAGCCATGTATACTTTAGTATGAATGAGTTTATCAGCACATTTCCAAAAAGTAATCTGAGAGAAGGTCAAATAGAGGGATCTCAAGGTCATTATGTGTCTGATGAAGATCTGAAAAAATGTCCCATGAAATAACAGAGAAAAACATCAGAGAAAGATGAGATAAAGTATTTATCCTACAGTAAAAAAGAAAAAGAGAAGCTGAACATACTCAGATGTCCAACATGAAAGAAATGGTAAATTATGGAACTGTGGGGCAATGGTATACTATAAAAGTTGTATAAAGGAAATTTGTAAAATTTCTAGTAGCATAGAATGGCATGTTATGAGGGAAAAAAGAAAGATGAAAATTGTATATACAATTTGGTAACAACTATGTAAAACAATAAAACTGTGTAGCTAGAAACAATCTATAAGAAAATACAACAAATACAACACAATTTTAACAAAGGTTATCATGTTGGAATCTTTTTGCTTTCTATTTTTCTTTATTTTCCAAAGTGTTTACCATAATTATACATACCCTTTTAATTTTGGGTAGGGCTATATTTGAGAAATAAATAAATAAACCCTGAAGAGAGAAAAAAGTAGAAGAACTCAAGATGAACTTTGTATATCACAATCTTTTGAGGTGTAGTAAGGCAATTGTTCCTGGTTTTAGAGCAGGATGTTTAGGTTTAAATCCCAGCACTCTGAGTCTGCTTTGCTTTTGTGCACATGGGTGTCTGGTGCCCTTTAGAATGGAGATGGGAGTGAGGTCTCCCTGGGAAAAAAATGCTTTCAGAGAGAGGTTTAGATATAAATATCAAATGCAAATTCCACTAAGTTCCTAGAGTCCCTTCAATGAAACAAAACTACTGTGAAAGAAATGTTTTGGAGTGACACAATTTTTGCTCTCCTACAGTCACATACATGTAAAAGAAGAAACTGGCCCACAATCTTATGCAGGACACAAAACTTAAGGAAACTGGATTAAAGACTTGAGTGTAAGGCCTTAAACTACAAACTTTCTAAAAGAGAACACAGGTAATAAGGCCATGGACATTGGTCTGGCAATGATTTTTTTATCTGATTATCACAAGCAAAAATAACAAGTGGAACTATACCAAACAACAAAGCTTCTGCATATCAAAGGAAATCAACAAAAGGAAAAGGAAACCTAGTAAATAGGAAAAATGTTTTGAAATTACATGTTTGGTAATGGGTTAATATAAATAAAGAATTCCTAGAACTTAATAGCAAAGAAAGAAATAATCCAAATAAAGAATGGGCAGATCTTAGTGTGTGACCAAGGGGTACCCATTGACCACAAAATATTAAGGGGTATATGATCTAAAAGGAATTCAGTCATCCAAGTACACAAAGACAAAGGAAACATACTCTTAGTGTGAAAGATTTTTTTAAAAAAGATTTATTTATGCATACAGAACTGGGGTACTGGCCAGAGGTGCAGGGGCGGTGAAAGGATTCACCAGAGACAGAGTGGGGAACAGAACAGGCAGATTGACAAAATACACTGCTGAGGGGAGCAGCGGGCGGGTCAGGTGAGGTCTGCTGGGTCATGTGGTTCACCTCTGGGATGGGGAACGAACTCATGCTGAAGTGGCTTTAGTATTTTAGTGCTGTGTTTTAACCTGCTGTACCACAGGAGAGGGCCCAGTGTGAAAGATTTTTAACAGGATTGGTGTGCATAGAGAGAGAAGGAAAGATTTCAAATAGCACATTCTCAATGAAGCTCCAAAAGTTACTCAGGGGGCACATGCCCACCTAGCCAAATAGGCTCGGCCCAAAGCAGGGCTGTTGAGGTCCCAAAGCTTGCTACAAACCTAAGGTACCCTCTGGCAAGCAACCACAAGAAAGGGACTAGACAGATTCAAGAGAGTTGGGACAGAAAGAGAACGAGGCAGAAATCAAAATATACCACACTAATGAAGCAGCTTCCCCTTGTCTTCAACCTTGTATCTCTTCCAAATGTCTGTACATGTCTCTTCTCCATATGTCTCTTCCCATGGGTCTTTCCCCAGCAGTACCAGTGTTCAAGTTAAAGCCAGAAAAGCATTGTGTACAATAGTCAAGATATGGAAGCAATTTAACTGTCTATGGACAGACAAATAGAAAAAATGGTGTATATATACAATGGTATTAGTCAGCAATAAAAAAAGAATGAAATCTTGTCATTAGTGACAACATGGATGAACAGAAAGAACATTATGTTAAGTGAAGTGAGACAGAGAAAAACAAATACTGCATGATCTTACTTATATGCGGAGTCTTAAAAGCAAGCAAACAAAAGCCAAGCACATATAATTAGAAAACAGATTGGTGGTTGTCAAAAGGTGGATACTGGGATAGTGAGAGAAATAGGTGAAGGAGGTTCAAACATACAGACTTCTAGCTACAAAATAAGTAAGTTCAGAGGAGTAACTGACATTGGACAAAATTAAAGGATGCCCAGGGATCCCAAATTATAAAGGGCAAAAGCCCATGTTACCCATTCTAACAGTTTATACCTCCCTGTGTGCATAAAAGCAACGGAACCAAACCCTAGTGTGTTCAAAGGTTTTTAATCAGTGAAGACAAGGGGAAGTTGCTAAGTGAATAGAAAGAGGAGGAGTAGAGGAGAGAATTTCAAAATACAGACTCCCATCCAAATTCCAAAATCAACCACCCTCTCATGAACAGACTTTTGGTCAAACAGGCAGGACCCAAATTGGTGTAGCTAGCACCCAAAAACAGAGCTTAAATGAAGAATGAATGAAGAATGAATCCAAGACAGCCTCTCAGCAGGAAACATAAGAAAAAAGTTGTGCCTGGCCCAAAGAACTGGCAGAGAAGGAGAAAACATACTGCCCAATCTGAATCCATCATGAGGCCAAGACAATGGTTGCCATAGTCTCTCAAGAGAGTGAGATTGTGCTGCCTGTCAACATACTCAACATACTAGAGCTGGAAAAACAGATGCCAGCTGAATGGATTTCCCCAGAACCTGAGTAGATGCAGGAGCCCCTCTTTCCAACCTCAGCTGAGCCTAAGGAGAAGCAAAGTCTTTCAAAAGCTACCTGGAGGCTCTGCTCTGTTCCTTGATTCCAGCAGTCTCCAGTTAAGTCAGGGGTGGAACAGGCAGATAATGATTCTCACAGCTCTCAGAATTCTCCCAACTGTCTTTGTTCAGGAGTTCATGAGGGTAGAAGTGTGAGACTCACAGACTCTATTACATAATGTACAACATGGCTACTTGAACTTAATAGTATCATACTGCATACTTCAAAGAAGTAAGAGTTGCTAAGAGTATATCCCAAAAGTTCTCATCACAAGAAAAAAAGTGAACGATGTATGGTGACAGGCATTATCTAGACTTCTTATGGAGACCCTGCAATATATTCAAGTATCAAATCATTATTTTGTATGCCTGAAACTAAAGTTATATGGCAATTACCTCAATGATGTTCATGATGATGGTAATAAAAAAGTAACAGTAGACACTTGATACCGAAAAGTATGGTACCAAGTGGGAAACACATACATATTAAGGGGTGGTGGTTGAATAGTCAAATTATTTTTTCATTGTGCTGCTGGCACCTAATTCTATGTGATTTCTCTACCTAAGACAGAAAATGGCATATGAAGTATCCCTTTGGAGAGGAGGGAAATTGGAAAGCCCAATTATTTAATTCTATTTCTTACCTTCTTGGACTCTGACAGTGACCGACACCAATGACTTCAGAATGGAAAAGAAGTAAGAAGCATTTTCCTTGTATGCTTACTTGAGAG